ACTTGTGCCTCCAATGCATCCACCTCCTATTGAGCATTCAAAACCCAAGACTGAACATTACCAAACACATCAAAATTCCACTCCTTCAAATAAGAAGACACCTTTTATGTAATTGCCATAAAAAAAACCATGGGTTGTCACTCCACTGAGAGCTCCAAGCCTACTTAACCAGATTAAGAAAGGTAGGATGAGAGGTCCAGACATTGAGATATCTAAAATGAGAGTGAGCAGGTTTAGAATGAAAAACCAAACAAAGCAAAATAGGATTATGATCTGAAGCAGCATGATTAAGATGTTTGACATGAATGATATTATCATAGTCCATAAAAGAAGAGTTTCTCAGAAATCTGTCAAGTCCTGCATAAGTTGGCCTCTCCTCCAAGTACAATGAGAGCACGAGAAACCTAAATCAAAGAGACCAGCATCATTAATATGCTCACAAAAACGATTGATAAGATTTGTATCAGCTTTAGCTCCACTCATTTTCTCCGAAGGGGACATAATCATATTTAGGTCACCCCCAACAAACCAGTTATCTGGAATCGAAGCACCTATGTGTACAAGCAGTTGCCAAAGAAGTAATTTATCCTGTAATAAGGAGCTGGCATAAATAAAGGTAGCACAACCATGAAAATCCTCCAAATTATAAACAAGAACATATTGCAAGTCATCATCAATGATGTTGAAATTGATTTTCTTTTTCCAAAAAATACAAATTTTATTGTTCTGATTATTATAGTGCAAATAATTTTTGAATTATTTAATAATACTATCCTTATGGACAGACACCAGCGACTCCAAAATTGCAAAAATGTCATGCTTATGGACCCTACATAAATATTTTAAACGAGTAAAGGTGCAAAAATGCCATGCTTATGGACCCTATATAACTATTTTAAACGATTAAAGGAGTGGGGATCTGCCACTCCCCTAAAGTTTCACAGTAATATGTTAAGAATGTTGGCCCAAAGCACCCCTCCTAGTGATCCTAAGGGGGGAGGGGCAAGTGTTCTCCCTCAAAATTGTAAGTGACATCAATATTGTTTGAAATTTTCATATTAGAATTTTCATATTTCCTTCTTTCTCTTTTCTTGTTGTATTTTTGGATACTCCGTTCAGAATCCAAAACAAAGGCAGCATCAGCAACCGGGTCAAGTTGTGCAGTGATAGAGTGCATAACAGGGAGGTGTTTAGTTGTATCGATTTGAGGAGTTTCCACAATGGGTATTTCCCCAGGTATAGTATTGGTTGAATGTAAGTCAATGTCCTCCTCAACTAATAACTCCGCGCCCGAAGTTGAAGATGGCAGATTTTGAGCTGTTGTGGAGAGATGTGGATTTTGAGATGTTGTAGGGAGATGTGGACTGTGTGCATCAGAAACCTGTTCCACATTGGCTTCAGACCTCTCATTATTTAGATGGTCATCATGCTCGACAACACCGTGTTGCGCAGCACTATTCCCCTCCAAGCACGGGGCAATTTGTTCAATCTCAGGAGGTGTTCTCTGAGCAGACTTAATCTCAACAGAGGTCAAAGGCCTGCGCTATTCTTCCTTAAATCAGGGTGCAGATGAAAGCAATGTACCAAATCATGTCCAAACATGCGGCAGTGGGAGCGGTGTTTCTCAAGAATAACCTATTGCTAGTAACCAGTATGCGTTGAACATATCCAAACCTCCTTAGGGGGAGTAAAGTAACATCTCTTTCACTTAGGATTCTTGCCATAGAGGGTCTTGTTCAGTTGAAAGTCAGAGCATCAACATTAACGGTTTACCAAACATGGCAGAATAATATCTCATGATTGAACAGATGCACTTTTAAACCAGGTAGTCGAAGCCAAACAAGAATAATAGGAAGCTCAGTCGGAGAATCGAAATCGGTAGTCCATTTGAGGACTTTCATCAAAACATTCTCAAAACGAACAATTCTATGAGCAAAGAGTTTAGCGTAATCATCCCCATTAGACAATTGCTCAGAATATGCCTACTATCAAGAGCACCAATCTTCTAGCCCTCATCCAAATTCAAAACCTCAAAATGTTTTAGAAGGAAATCGTATTTTGGTAGCCCATAGAGAAACTTACCCACCAAATGATATTGACAAGCAGACGCAAGAATGGCGTTTTCAGAGTCAGAGAGGATGAGCGCAAGCTTACCCCCCTTCTTCACTGCGTCTTAATGAAAGTGTACTCCCCACCAAAAATCAAATATTCATGAAAGAAAGAAGGAAAAGCAAACTTTGGAGCAACACAGAAGGAGAAGCCCCCGGCATAAGTTTTTGCCATTGACGGCGAGAGAACGAAATACCGAGGAGCAGGAGACGAGCAAAAAGGAGAAGCCAAAGCAAGAAGACAAACGGAAAGATCTCACCAGCATACAGCAGACGAGAGAGAAGAAACACCGTCAGCATCCCGAAATCACCTCCAGGTCGCTAGGAACACTAGCAGTGCTCCTGAAACGTCCATCGTTCATATATATATATATATATATATATTTGATTTGATGAGTAGCATTCAAGCCAAAATGTGTCGAACACTAATATCCAAGGAAGTAAAGAACACTTTCAAAAAAGGCGACATCAGCACTCACAAAAAATTTATTTATGGTATGATCAAGACGTAGTTAGTCTTTTTGAGTGGCAGTAAATTCAAGGAAGACACATTTTATGGATCAAAGTCTTTGTTAAGATCTGTCAGAAATTGAAACATGTGATCATTTTATATAATTTTCTAAAAGAGAGAAAGATCTGTCAGAGATTCCCACGTGTAATAATAGAAAAAATCGCATTCCATCTATAAGGCCACCAAATCATTATATAGTATTGGGCCACGGTCTTTGATCCCTATTTTGCCCCGCGGAGCTTCTTGGAAACCCAAAATTGGTTGAAGTTCCCTACATCGGAGTAGGTATCCCGAAATGAAGTTCATATGGCACTTGCAGAATGAAGAAACATATTCGAACAATTAATTATAGTCTCCATTGAGTAAATAAGACACGACATGACCATGAAATTCTCTACTTCTCACGTTTCAAAAGTTGAGCAAGTTTTAGAAGGTTCGCGAATCATTCCGGTGAGATTGTCGAATTTCACGCGTACCTTAACGAACAAGGCACAACTTGGGACCATTAGAGAAAATTAGAACCGTTCAGTATATGGATGATGATAAGAAAATTTGTGGTTTTCCAATCCTCCAATCTGCGGAGGGATTGAGATCGGTGTCGACCCCCTATTGTACTCAAGTACATAGTCAGGAGAAAACTCAGTGGTGGAGGAGTTAGCCATTGTTCCAACTGAGCCAAAAATGAAGTTGAGGTGTCGAAATGTAGGAAGTTCCCTGATCAAGACAAAAAAAAAGAAGATCCAGAAGCTAAACAGATCCCATATCGCACTAGACGGGAACAAGTTCGCTAGAGGGAGCTCAAGCTAGTCTCAAGGGATTCAGACGACTAGAAACCATCGCCAGTCGATCCACCAGCCCACTGGAGGGAGCTCCGGCTGGTTGGAAAGGGATCCCGGCAGCTTGAACCAAGCGGCAATCCGTCCAAGGGCTTGCTTTCATCTTATTTTAGTGGAAATCGTCGACAAAGGAAGGGTGGCAAAAGTCGCGACGGGAGGCATCACTGGGATTGTGAGAGGAACGAAGCTCAAAGATTAAAATCATGGCTATGATACCATGATAACTTTTGAGTCTAGAGCTCCATACATTCATTGATAAGAAAGAGGTGCATAAATACACGTTACAAGGCCTACAAAAAAAGAAAGAATTAAACTCAGAAATACATAAATATGGAAACAAATAAAAATAAAGAAAGCAAATAACATCTAATAATAACTGCAATATTAATTAGGCTAATAATTCTAATAATGGGCGTTAACATTCATTTTCGAAACCTCAATGGTATTGAATTTTATATTTGTTCACAAGTTATTATGAGATTATAAATTTGATTACTGCTAAATTAGTCTTTGGAATTAAATAAATGAATTGTTGTTTTTACATTAAAAGTAACTCATTTTGGATAAAGTTATGAGTTAGTAACCTATAGATTGTGACTTTTTGTACATCTATAATTATGTGGTTCATCCTAAGTTGCCTTAATGACCATAGCTTTTGCATAGGTTATGGAGAAGCTTACAAAAAAATATTAAAGTTGTTACCACAGTGTATGCTGTTTGCAAATTATATAACTATAATGGGGGGACATCCACTAAAATACGAGAAAAATAAAAATCAGAGAAAATATATAGAAAATTGAGGAATTTGAATCAGTGGAATAAAAAATGAGTTAATGAAGTGTGAATTTAGTGGTACTGTGTTGACAGTTATCATTTGATATTATTAAAAATAAGAAGATGCCTGGTGATAGATATAAATAACTTCAATCTATTATATCCAAGAATGAAAATATAGAAGAGTATAACTTCAAGGGTTAAAAGATGGACGATTAAAATGGATCAAATGGCTTAAAAGTCTTATGTCCTAGGAAGATGCCATGGAAGCATAAAGGTTAATTTTATAAAACAATGTTTAAGCTCCTCATGTTGTATAGATCTCAATTTTGGACTATAGAAGTTTATTGATAGCCTAATTGGCATTTCTGAGAATGTTATTTCCACGTATGCCAGGTTCATTAACACTATTGTCTTTCTTAACTCAACGCTGTAACATTTCTGAAAATTTCCTACATTGCACTTGCTTGATTAGAAAGCTACTACAGCTATAAGATTCCATAACACTGGTTGAAACCTTCTTTAATGACTTTCCCCCTTTCTGCTGAGAGAAATTCAGGATAAACAAAAAAAAAAATGTCCTCTTGTTCTCCTCCCAAGTTTCTTTCAATTTAATATTTTGCAAGTAAAGCAAATTAAAGCTCACGGCCCAGCCAATTGACTGGCCTACTTATTATGCTATTGATCAATGAAAACTCGTTGACTAAGGGGGAATAATTGGCAGCAACAAATAGTTAAAAGAGAAGATATTTTGCAAAATTTATAGATTACTTCAACTCTTTCAAGATAGTCATGGTGTTTTCTCCTCTCCGTAATTCTAGCAACCTGAAAACATGAACGCACAATGACCAAACATATTATTACTCAGAAATTTGACTAACTATTGTTTTAGTTAGGAAAAAACCTTCACCAAGATAATGAACAATCAACCAACATCCATCATAAGTGAGGCACCACACGCAATTCTGCAGCAAGCACAGCATCACCTATGATGGATGGGTGTTGAAAGGTTCACATTTTCGGTAAAGGTTTTCAGGAATTATGGCAAGTATACCTCACGAACTTCTTCAGCACTTTGAATAGTATCCAGACTTGACTGCAACAAGAAATATCAAACATTTGAGAAATTTCAGAAATATAAATCTAATCAATGAACATGAGACAAAAAAACAGACATGGTCAACATGTTGCACATAACGAATTTCCTAAAGAGAAAAAAAAACCCCAAAAAACTACAATAAAAATAAAGTCAAAGGCAAGTAAAAAAACAAAACAGCCATTTGTTTGCTGGATGAGAAAGCCACATCCACTAACAAACCATTAAGATACTGTTGAACAAATATTAAATGAAATTGCAGGTAGAAGAAAAGCGCCTGAAGACGACTCTTTCCATCAAAGTCTGAACCTCTTCAGAAGCTCTTTTCTCGGAACTGACCAATATTTCTCTTTCATGCTTTAAAATTGAAACCTGTTTGATAAATTAATGAGATGGCCTTCGCATCCAGATAGATTCTCCTAACACAGATGTATGTCTCACCTCCAAGGATAGCTTCCGTAAATTCTCTTCCGAGGCTTGTAAAAAAGCTGAACTTTCACGAAGTTGCTTTTGATAATCAATGAGCAAGTGTGTCAGTTCCATATTTCTAACAGAAACAGCATTGATTTCCGATCTCTGCAACACAAATAAAATTTTAGTGGAAAAACAAATTCAAAAATGGACAACATGCAGACCTTCTAAATTCTTCTAAATTCTATGTTAACACGCATGCAAACAAAGATGGCATTAACTTAATTTCAAGAATGTAATGATTCACACACATGACGGAATCCAAAACAACAAAACAAACACACAGTAGAAATTGAAAAAGATATATGTACAGACATGATTTTGGAAGCGCTTATAAATGGGGTTGTCATATAGGGATGTACGAAAAGAAAAGGGGAAAAAGGAAAGCTACCTGATGTTCAAATTCCTTCATGAAACTATCTAGCCTCTCCTTGGAAAAATTAGCTTCTAGGGACATTTTATCACGCTCTGCTCGTGCTGAAATAAGCTCTGTACTGATTTAAGCATGAAACAACCCATGAGAAAGCATTAGAAACATTGCGTGAATAGTAAGAAATTTTAATCATGTATAAAGAAAATTTGGAAATAGTGAAACCATTTCCATGGGCATTTTCATATTCATCATTATAATCAGCACAAACAAAACTGTATGGGCCACGTTTGAGGAACCTTCTCCAGACAACTCATCCGTAGATTTGATTTTGAGGTTGGTTCTAGTTTCCATTTTTCATAATTATAAATATTATAGCTCCGGCTTGCCGCTTTTTTGCAATCTTAAAAACTAATATCAACCCTGTAATCATAAATGCACCTAATTAGTTGTGCATGCCAAATAAAATGAATCCATCTCCAAGTGATGTTGCAGATGCATTTTATATGTTTTATACATTCCTCACCTTATTTTTTTTATTTCAAAACCATTTAAATATTTAAGCTGTATCATGTTTTTGAGTACATCTCTCTCTCTCTCTCTCTCTCTCTCTCTCTCTCTCTCTCCAAAATACCACTATCCATTCTAAACACAGAAATGCCAAGGGTGACATTAAGGGACTGTGGTTAACAAAAATAATATCTAAAACTAATGTGATTGCTAGCTTCATAAAGAAATAGCAACCTTAAAAGTGATCCAACAGTCACAACAATGTGTATACTCAACTCAATAGGGCACTGATTTAGAATATACCGCTTAGATTCCAGAAATATTCAACCAAGACACTATTTGGTTCAAATTTTATGCTAGGCTCTTGTAGGAATCCAAATGTAAGAACCGAAGAAATTCTGTCACAGCAATTGAAATACCCAAAAATGACCAAACAAGTAAATTTCTTTTAATTTTGAATTATACCGTCGCATCTCCAAAATTCAACCAAACTACAAACACAACAAGCCTTTATCCCACTAAGTGGGGTCGGCTACATGAATCCTTCTCCTCCATCGTGTCCTATTGAGTATCATATTTTCTTTTAATTTTAATAAATCAAGATAATTTTTATGTGATATGTGTAAGTCTTCTTAGGTCTACCTCTACCTTTCTTAACAAAAGTTGAATCTAAAACATCTACTCTCTTAATCAGATCATCAAATGGTCGACGTTTAATGTGACAAAATCACCTAAGATAACTCGTTCTAATATTGACTGTCACTGGAGCTACACCAACCCTTTCACGGATATATTCATTTCGCATTTTGCCACCAGGTGTCACGCCACTCATCCACCTAAGCATTCTCATCTCAATCACACTTAACTTTGTTTTATGCTTCTCTTTTAAAGGCCGATAGCGATAAATCGGGAAAACAAAACCGAATCCTGACACAAATAAAATACAAATATATAATGAATAAAAAGATAGGGGTGGTCCTTACCTTTGACGCAAACCTAACCCATCCATATGGGTCGGCCGGCCCTCTCTTGTTGGTCTGTGCTTGATACTTGTGGTTCTGTTTAGTGATCTTTTCCACCTCCTCGTGCAGCTCCGGAATCTCTTGCACCCGCTCCTCGGCATCCTCACTAATCTCTAATGTCAACAGGAGTTGTACCAAGTCAAATGGACTAAGTGGGTTACACCCGTATACAATCTCAAATGGGGTGTGTCCCATGGTCTGACTCGAGAATCTGTTGTAATCAAATTTGGCTTTAGCTATAATCAAATCTCACAGCTACTCTTTACGACAAAGCACCTCCGAAGTTTCCTTAAACTGTTATTCACTACCTCCGTCTAACCGTCCAACTGTGGCTCAACTGCTGAGCTAAATTGAAGCTTGTGTCGAGCATCCCCCATAAGGTCCTCCAGAAGTGACTCGGAAACTTGACATCTATGTAGGAAGTGATGGCCTTGAGTATCTTGTATAACCTCATGACCTCTTTGAAGTATAAATCAATGACATGCAATGCGTCTAGCATCTGACAACATCTGGCGGCAGGACATGAAGTGCGACATCTTCGAAAAACTACCCACCACAAACATCACATAATCCTTGTTCTGATGCATTCGAGGGAGATCCACCACAAAATTTATGTTGACAACCACCCATGGAACCTCTAGTAATGGCAATGGGTTCTATAGTCCTGTATTTTGTCCCCTAGTTTTGGCCATATGGCATCCCGCACTGCCTAACGTGCCGCTCCACATCTCTCGCCGGTCAAGGCCAATAAGAGTGTTCTCAGGAATGCAAGAGTCTTATCCTTATCAAAGTGTATTGCAAGTCTTGCACTGTTACTTTTTGAATAATGGACTCCCTCAAAGATCATCTAGGAATACACAATTTATTTTGATGGAACAAGTAACCTTAAGTTTTGTGGTACTGCTAGGTAGGCTTCCCCTGACACTACTCCCAGATCCCTCTGAAGTTTTCGTCTATCTCTTATAACACCTTTACTACTACAAAACCTACAACTCAAATCTGCATCAAAGTGATAAGCAAGTGACAGCTGCTTAGTTCATCTGTTACTCGATTATGGCTCCGCACCTTATGCTTAAGCACGAACTGGAACGACACTAAAAACTCCACCCAAGATGTGTGTTGGCCCTTCAATTGTTCAGGCTACTCAAAATATTCAAATTCTCGTGATCCATGAACCGAGTACAAGAAGGAGGCTCTCGAGACTACCGTCTCCTCTGCTATGTCTATTCCTCTCGCGTCCTTGATGGGTAAATGTAAGAAGCATATCCCATCCTTTTAAAATGAATATGTATTTTTAAAACAGTCGTGTTGGATCTTGCGGTCGAACTATCATGGCCTTCCTAACAGAACATGGAAAGTCTCCATAGGCCCACCTCGTACCTAACTTGCTCCAATCACTGATCTCTAATGGAGAACTCAGGCAAACATTGTTGATCCACGAGTATCTTATTTTCCCTTTTCGATCGAGTAAGAGTAGGATTGGGGGTGCTATTGTGGTCAACCCCAATTTCTTCATGTAAACCCCCTTAGAAATTAAATAGATGACAAAAGAGGTTCATCTACAAACATCAAGGAGCTCTAAAGTTTTAAATTAGATGTATTTTTAGTGTTAGTACTTTGAGTTTCAGTTGGCCTTTCCATCTATTGGGAGATTTTCTTTAGCAACAAAAGGGAATACTTAGTCAAATCAATTTTATTTTCGTCCAACCATTAATTCTCACCTTGGTATTCCAAGCTTCTGGATGAGGTCGTGGCATACTAAGAATGTCCATATGTATGATTGGATTAAGGAAAAACACCTTAGTAATTTAGTCAAGCCTCCATCATAGGATGTCCATAAATGATTTGGATCAACAAAAAATAAAAATATCAACCAAAAAACTATTATTTCAGGGCATCTCAAAAGATTACATTAAAAATTGGTATAAACATTCTTCAAAGGCTTATATCATATACCAAACAAAACCTCCACATGAATCATTGCAAATTCCTCGGATAATCAACTTGCAAATTTCAAACCAAAGGGAAAAAAAGCCTTCTTGCTTATGCATGCACGTGTATACGAATTTATTGAGGTGTGACTATGCATATATCTATTGAAAAGTTCACCTATAGATTCATATAAACATAGGTTTTATATGATTAAAATGAAGATTGAAATAGAATACAATAACAACAACAAGCCTTTATCCCACTAAATTGGGCCGGCTACATGAATTCATTTCTCTACGGCGTCCTGTTCATATCCTCACAAACACCATAAGTTTTACAAACACTATCATCAAAAATCCCTTTACCATTGGCTCAGCGGACAGTTGATGCACATCTAAATTGAAGCCATGCTTTTTTTTTCTGACAATCATTATGAGCCAGTCAGCTTCTTTCCTATTTTCCACTATTTTTAATAAATTCAAGGCGTAAACCAGGAAAATGTATATTCCATGGAAAAGATATATATTGTATGCTTAAAATGAAGATTGAAATAGAATACAATAACAACAACAAGCCTTTATCCCACTAAACAGGGTCGGCTACATGAATTCATTTCTCTATGGCGTCCTAATGATTGTCATATGTTCATTTAAATCTAATAGATTAAGATCATTTCTTATATAATTTGCCCAAGTCTTTTTAGGTCTACCTCTGGTTTTCATAATATAATTTGAATCAAAAACATCTACTCTTCTAGCGAATCATCAGATGGTCGGCGTTTAATGTGACCAAACCATCTAAGACGAGTCTCTCTAATCTTGTCTGCCACTGTAGCTACACCAACCCTACCACGGATATATTTATTTTGAATTTTATCTCTAAGTGTCAAGCCAATCATCCACCTAAGCATTCACCTAAGCATTCTCAAAACTCAGCAACACTTAACATTGTTTTATGCTTCTCTTTTAAAGGTCAACATTCTGTGCCATAGATCATTGCAGGTCTCACCACCATCTTGTTAAATTTTCCTTTCAGTCTGAGTATCGGAGTGTCACTTCTCTACACACAATAGGCCCAATGCATTGCTCCACTTAAAGCAACTTGAAAATTGAAATAGTATAAGCACTAAAAAATTATACAAAGATATCAAGCAGACTAGTATAATATGAAAGATGGATAAAGCAAAATAGGTTAAAATATATAATACCTCAATCTTGCAATATCTTCTTCCAGAATTCTGCTACGACTAGAGAGTTGTTCATAGGCTTTCTTAGAGACTTCCTGAACAAAAGCAAATGAACAAGGCTATATATAATATAAATAAACAACCCTCATTATCTTTACAAAAGATCGTTTGCAGCTAACCTGTGAACCTTCAAATAAAAGCATGAGCTCTTTCTTTCCATCATCTAGAAAAAAATCAAATGGTAACAACAATTAGACTATCAAATCAGCTAAGAGAGCAAAATATGCTAAGAAAGTAAATATTGGCCTTGAAAATGCAGTATCAAGGTTTATCGGGCTACTTTATTTCCAAAAAGTATTGACCCTTTAAAAGAAAGTTGCAAGTTCTCAGAATACAATTGCTTCTTTACTACAAAAAGGATATTCGTTTGCATCTTAAGATGAGATAATATCAACGATATAATAATATAAACAAAATGGCAAATTTCCAACTATTCATGAACTAATTATTAATACAACGTAGGGAGTATATGTGCAACTCACTTGTTTGCACCAAACTTACCAAACATTATCTCATCTTTGATAAGTTTCATTTAATTTAACAACCAAAATATTTGTTTAAATTGAACTAAAATGGTGCGCACAACCCCAGCTGATAACAAATTAACAAAAAGTATATAGAATAAAACAAGGAACAAATCATGAGTTAGTAATAAATCTTCATCAAATAATACATAAAAGCCAGGTGGAATAAGGATTCACTTGGAAGCACCATACTGTGCTGTAATCAGTCTTCTCCAAGAAAAATTATAAATGCAAAAGTTGATTAAAGCTTTGTTTGGTAATGCCACATTGTGTTATGATGTCAAACTGTGATGTAATAAATCTTTCCCTGCACAAAGTTAAAATTGTTTTGGAAATGCAATGCTGTAAATATCCAATTTAATTAGGACTTCGTTTGGTTGTGCCATGCTAAGCTAAAAATCAGCAACAAGATAAAGTTCTAAAATGCCAAAGTTGATTAAAGCTTAGTTTGTTTATGCAAGATTGTGCTGTATTGTGAAAAATAAAGTCAATGCTGATCTCACTGAGATGGATAAGTTTATGATCTTCTCTAATCATTCCCGTGACATAAAGTTGTACAAAGCAAATCACTACCGACCAAATTTAAGTTGCACGTACAAACCAACTCCAGCTACATGATATAACTATTTATTTAGCACTATAAACTGTGGCTAACATTCAATAGATTTCACTGAAAGACTTCTACCGTTTATACTAAATAGCTGTAAAACTTTAATAAGGTAAACCGTTCATTATATGCAACTAAAATGACTAGGAAGAAGTTAGTCAACATGTTATTAGAAGATCAATTAGGTTGGATAAAATTAGTCAACTATGCTACAACATAAAGATATGACTAAATGACTTTAAAAATGAAAAATTAAAGGTGATAAAATAGTCTGCATTAACATGCTAAAAATGTTACAAAAAAGAAAGAGAAAATCAGATAAAGTAAAAAATCTTTGCAGATATCAACATACAGGCTGATAAACAACCACAATACAAGTGCAGTAGAATCAAAGTCGTGCAATTAGAAATAGAAAGCAAAAGTTATTGTAGGTAAATAAGTAGGACTTTATGCCCACACAAAAAAAAAAAAAAAAAAAAAAAAAAAAAACAGCCTGCATATATGCTTGTATTCCTTCTTAGAAATAGCATAACAGTCCTAGAAAATATTAATCAAAATCTCATTACTGCTAAAATCAAGCACCACAAACATGCCTGAAACAGCTGTGGCAGATGAATGGCTAGAAGTCCGGAATTTATGTTCCTCCTCATATAATCTTTTGTACATTGCAACCTGCAGAAATCAGGATAGTTCATTATGAACAAGTGAAAAGATTCTCAATATTTCAGTTTCCTTCTAAGATAATGAGAATGAAAGGTGGTATTCCTGCAAAGGGACCACAAGAAAAAGAAAAATGAAAGGAAAACTTACTGCACTATGAAGAGATTCTATCAAACTTGCTTGTTCCTCAGATCTTTTTAGGACAACCTCAACCTTAGATGATGCGTCATCAGCTACTCTTCGAAGTTCATTTTGAAAATTGTACTAATAGGATCAACCATAAAGTTAGTCAAAACATAAAGAAATAATATGTATCACTAAAATAAACGAATCAAAACAAAAAAAATGGTAAGAGCAAGGTAGTCAAAATAATACCAATTTTAAAGAGAGGTAAGAGCAAATAGACATTATGACTTGATTGTCCTAAACACTAGTATCAAAGTCGCAATGAAAATTTTAAAATCAGACTTTCCCCAACCCCACATCAAACATGCTCAAATAGCATTGAAATGCAGTTTCCCCATCTCCTGATAAGACCAAAGGAACTCTTTATCAATTGATATTTTCACAAAAAAAAAAAACATATCAAAAAATAAGACCAAAGGAACTCTTTATCAATTGATATTTTAACAAAAAAAAACATATCAAAAGATCAGGTTCTCCATCATACATATGGAAATATCGAGTAAGAGGTAATAGAGCAAGGAGAGAAGATGGTTCATAAAATATTATATTTGAAACAAATAAATGGAATTAAATTAATAAAAAAAACACATTTGAAGAGTTTAAAGCTTACCCTCATTTCCGTCTCCTTTTTCTCCTCATCAGCAGAAAGTCTATGCACAAGGCCTCGAAGTTTAACATTTTGTTCCACTAGTTCATTTATGTCCTTGAAAGTCAGCTGCTTCCGGTTTTGAAAAGAAAAGTATGAGCGTAAAAGGGCCACACTAGCTTGAGATGCACGTAAAATTGAAAATAAACATAACTCACAAGGTGGTCAGAAATAACTCTGTCAGCATTAACTAAGCTACCGCTAGCTGTAGAAACAGAAGTCAAAGTACCTTCCACAGGCATCTGGGGATTACCTCCACAGCGAAGTTGAATATCTTGGCATTCCTTAAGTAGAACAGTTACCTGCAATATAATATTATTATTTATTTTATTTATTTGTTTAATATTTTTTATCAAAATATCTGAGATTATTTCTTATTTAAATATCTAATATTATGAGTTTTTTTCTATTTAATATTTTTTATTCCAACTACATTTTACACACCCATTTTTATCTTATCATTTCCAATTTAGTATCATATAAACGGAGCCGGGATACTTTATTTTATCATTTTAAGTAAACCATCAATTGATTGAATTGATAATATTGACCTCCAATGAATTATAATGTAACTGAAAGCCAAGAAAGTTGAAAATGAAAATTTAATAATTGTGCACACAACAAATCAGAAGGTATTTCGTCCTATTCACTGTTTTAAAAATGCTATCACCTTTCATAAGAACAACTCAAATAAATGTTTGCAACGAAAAAAATAATCTCCAGTAGAACTGATGATAAAAGAGTGTAAAAAATCAATAGTGAAAGAGCTTACTTGTTTTTGCAGATCATTTATTTCTTTTTGTGCAATCGAACATTCTCGCCCATGCCGTCTCAATTCAGCCTTAAAAAAAAATAAAATAAAATAGTAACCATATATGTGGAAGCAAAATATGTATTGTATTTCCAGATAGGTCCTTTACCTTCAAATTCCTTACAGTGTTTTCATGACTATCATGCTCCACAAGCGCCAGCTGCAATTTTTCATTCATTGTAGTATATGCCTCTACCATTCTCTCATGCTCAGCTATTAAGACAATGTACACAAAAAATTAATCCCAACTGATCACAAAAATAAAAGAAACTACAATAACTATACACATGAACAACCAGACATAAGGAAAAAATTAGCTTCAAAACAATTTAACTTTATAAGCAGCCAGAATATAAAATAATATAATTGGCCGTAAGAAGATTATAAGGATAAGGCCACGAGTAAAATTTTGAAAGGGTATTTACATAAATATTATATATATCAAATGTATTTACAAATTTAAATTTTAAACTTTAATATCTACTTATATAACACCCAAACTTGAACATCACATCTAAAATACCATTAATATTAATTTTTTATACTGAAATATAAATTTTCATGCATATATTTTCTCAAGTGAAAGACAGCTTAGTCCATATCCATAGTTGATTTTCTCAAAGCAATTCTATTGAAACATACATATGTCAATTTAAAACCTCAAATAAAATATCATTTCTTCCTTAGGGATTTCGATACATCATCCATCTCTTCCCAAAATTGATTATCCAAACCATCTTCTAATCCAACTAGCAGAGCACAAGAACCAACTAGCTTATCATGTATCCATCTATAATGAACTTTAAAGCAATCTCTCAATCACTAATCCTCGACACCATAACAATTCATCTTTTTCAACAAATCATTCACTAATGCCTCAATCCCATTCTTATCTTTAATCCTTCCAACATATAGTAAAATAAAACTTTCTTTAATGTCCATAAAATATTCCTTTCTTCATTTAGTACGTTCAAGCAAAGAATGTTGAATATTCTCCTGATCATTAGGTCCACTGAATTTCTAGTTTTTCTAATCAAATTTCCAAATTTCATGTAGAGAATCTAATCATCACTTTAAACCTGCCCAACCTGTACCCACATTTCACCATGGTTGCTTAAGCTTTAGCATCTCACCTAAGATTGGTGTACTAGCCATCCTTTTACAAACAGCCTGTGTTCCGACTTCCGATACATCTCATCGGTAACATCCTAGGCAACCACTATCTATTTATTATTACAATCAAATTCACCTCTAATGCAATACTTTTGGGAGAGCTCTAGTACTAACAAATTTTAAATTTGAATTCCTTTCATGAATAAAGTCATGAGATTTACAATAAGCTGCTTACTTAACATTAAACATCAACATTTATAAACATGTCAAGCCTTTTATAAGTAGACCAAATTAGATAAGTGCTAATCCTTCTTGCACTAAAAGACTCAAACAGCACAGAAATACAACACTAGCCATCAGATTAAACATCTACCACACAGAGTTCCCAAAGGAAACCAGAAAGACAAGCTCACAAGATTACATTCAAATTTAAAAACATACAAAAAGAAATTAGAGGCTAAATATGTCAAAGCCCGGCCCCGGACTTAGAATTACCCAAGACAGGAACGAACGATCGAACTGTGAAAAATAAAGATCTGCTATTCTATTTATATTAATAACAAATTAATATTCAAAAAAATACAAAAAAGAGTTCTAGAGAAAACAATTAAAATTAACAAGTAGAAATTTCTACATTTTCGTTGTTGTTCTCTTCTTCTATACACATTTGCTATTCTACTCATCTTGTTAAAATATTTATAACCTAAAAATAATATTAAAGCAACATAATGAGTTATCTAAAGATAACCCGGGAGTAATCACACTTCTAAACCATAGTAATCTAAGAAAAAGAATTTAATATACATGTGAGCTATAAGAAATCTTATAATATGTTGGTCTTTCATATTTTTATAAGCAATTTGATATATACTAATGCATGCATTAATAACCTTTTTTAAATACAATTACTCAAGCTTCCATAAGCATTTACGTTAACTTTATTTTTACTTTATACTCCTTACACATTTTTCTCTGTGATGATCACCATCAACAAAACATTACACTCTTGGTCGATATTGTCCCGTCGGCACAATGATTAGCATTCTACACATCGCAGTTATCTAAGCTAGAAAAGCACTACTCCTGACTGATATTATTTCGTCTGCACAGTGGTTAGTAATGTAAACATTACAATTGTCTAGGGAGGTATGCTCTAGTCTACTCGCCCCTGACTGATATTAACTCGTCGGCACAACGATTACTGAACTAACTATCATAATTGTGTGGGTAGTAACAAAATTATGTACGCAAGCACACTGGTTCCCTTGTTTGTACCATTAGGAGGCGAAATCCTCCTCTAAACATGCGCATACAAAAATTCATATATAAACTATTTCATTCTTCATATATGAATTATTCTGAAAGATTTTTATGTATCTAATAACATTCATACTTCATACCCATTCTTACTCTGTTGTATAACTATCATCATGCATCTCTCATATCATTCATGTATATATCTCATGTATATCTCTTATATCATGCATATCGTTTTCAATCGTGCTTATATGACAAGCCTCTACTACATTTAATATCTATCTAAATATCATTCATCTTATGCATATCTTTCATGCATACATATCTTTACCTATTATGCTTATCATGCATATTTTTCCTATCTTTTTTTTTTTGAAAAGCCCAAGGATTGATTTTATTAAAATTGAAAAGATACATAAAAGTTGTATGAGATGGCTCAATAGAGGCACCCTACCCATATGATATCAAGTACAATAATACCCAACAAAAAATACAGATGACTGAAAAAATTTTAAAACATGCAGAAAATAAGTAGATAGGGAGGAGTCAGTTTAGTTCTGCCTCTTTCTCTAGTTTTAGGAGTGGAGTCAGATAACAAACTTTGAAGTGTCGTGTCATTGTCAAGAGTAACCAAAGTACCATCCATAATTTCCAAGTTGGAGTGTGCCCCCAGCTTTCTTCCGCCGAGAAGTGTAAACCTGTCATTCTTCATCTAAAAACTGGCTAATGTAATCCTTGGTCTGATTAGATAGTAGAAACCCAGTAGAAGAAAAGGCAGTTGTTGCCACAGCGATATGATCCAGTATATGTGAAGTGTGAATTGTCACCTCTGCGTCTGATACTTTCTGAATAGAAGTTGTGGGGCTATCCTGATTTTCGGTCTAAATATTATCCCTTAGAATATGGTCAGGAGAAGAGTTCCAAGGGGCAATGCAGACACCAACTCCTATCTTGTGGTGATTCCCTCCTCAGGTTGGTTGTCATCAGATTTGTTGGGAGCGTGTTCAGTCACATGGGGTGTACTAACAACATGTTCATGTTTTGACTATTGGTTCTCAACTGTGGGTGCAATCTAAAACATTTCTCTTGCGAGTGTCCAAATATCTTGCAGTGCTTACAGTAGTAAGGTTTTTGTTCCATAATGATTTTTTATCAATAATCATTGAGCAGAGCCAAGTCAGACTTCTTCTACATCTGGTAGTGTAATATCTCTTTCAATCAAAATCCTTGCAATAGAGAGCCATGAGAAATGAACAGTAGGTACGTCTACCTGCAATGGTTTTTCAAGGTTCCGAAGATAGTCCTAATTGCATATAAGGTAAGTAGATCAAAGAATTGAAGCTTGAGTTCAGGTAATGAGAACAAGATAGACGCAATAGAAAGTTCTTGACTGGGATCAAACACAAGGTCCATTTCAGCAATTTCATATGATTGCCCTCGATTGTGATGAATTTCTTTGAGAAAATTCTTGTATAATTTTTTTCTATTTTCAGCTGTATCATAACATGTCTTCCGTCGAAAAGACTCACCTATCAGGCCCCAACTAGTTTGAAATCTTCAAAAAACTTCCTGATCATCACCATTTAGGGCGACCAAATTGGAGCTTCCAAACTAGTGCAAATTTGTATTTTCCTGCACGAGTAGAAATTTCAACGTCAGAGAAGAATATTGTTGGTTTTCCCGCACTTTTCTTTACTTTTTTGATGAGATTGCAACTCCATATTCTGCAACAGAATCATAGTACATCTGCAGGAAAATCGGACTGTCTGCGAGGTGGAAAGAGGAGTTGTGTTTCTGAACCACTGTAACAGAATCATAGTACATCTGCAGGAAAATCGGACTATCTGCGAGGTGGAAAGAGTTGTGTTTCTGAACCACTGCATAGGAGGGCTTGCCCATCTCCGGAGCAGGTTTAGTCCCAAGAGAGGACGAAATACCTGCCATGAAAAAAGGCAGTCAAGACACTGCAAGGAGCAGCAGACGACTGGGGTAGACCTGGCTCAGCTGTCGAGCTGACGATAGAGAAGACCCCACGAACACGAAGCACGAAAGCGAAACAGCTCTGTTGCCAAACCGCAACATGGCGAGACGACAGTTCTGCGGCCAGAAAACACTACAACGCGACGACGCGAGCACCAACGTCGAAGACGAAGACAAAACAGGGAAATAGACGACGCGAGAAATCCGTGTAGCAGATGAGAGATCCGTGTAGGAGATGCTAGGGTTAGCCATGAGGCGAAACCCTAGGAGAGCGGAACGACGAATCCGCAATAACTGGATTATGCATATTTTTCCTATCTAACAGTATGATGATCTGGTTAAACTATGGCATACATGGAATCAAGCATACAATCTGAAATAAAAAAAATTAGCAAAATTTAAAAACACAAGTACTCACCTCAATTGCTACGCTAAAGTCTTAATCTTCGATAGATAGCTGGAAGTTGGGATGGCTTCTATATTGAGCTTAATAACATATAAAGCATAATATTAAACTTTAAGATTCAAGAGATTTCCATAAATTGAATTATTCATCTTAAAGTTTAATTAACCTTCTTAAAGTTTAATTGAATTCCGTAGGATGGTTCCATAAATTTCAGGTAACATAATCCTTAGCTAATTTAAGAAGAAAAGATAAATATATGTAATATAGGCATGTAAGATAAGCATGATAGAAAACAATATGCATGAGATCGATATATAAATGATCTGAGAGATGCATGATATTATATGTACAACAGAGTAAGAGTAAGTATGCATGTTATTAGAAACATAAATATTCTTCAGAATAATATATGTATGAAGAATTAAATAGTTTATATATGAATGTTTGTATGTACATGTTTAGAGGAGGATTTTACCCCCTAACGGTATAGATAGGGGGACGACAGTGTACCCGCACACATAGAGTTTTTCTATCGTTCCAGACAAATGTGATAGTTATTTCAGTAATCGTTGTGTCGATGATATAATATCGATCATAAGCGAATAGACCAAAGCTTACCTCCCAGACAATTAAAATGTTTATGTTACTAACCGTCGTGTCATTGAGATAATATCGATCAGGGGCAGAAAATGGTCTTTCCATCCAACACAACTGCGTTGTGTAGACCGCTAACCGCAGTGTCAAAGGGAGTCGACGGGACAATATCGGCCAATAGTGTGTAAGATTTTGTTGGCAGTGATCCTCACAGAGATAAGTGTGTATGTAAAAAGTATAAAGTAATAGTGAAGTTAAAGCAAATGCTTATAGAAGCTTGAGTATTTGTATTTATTTAGAAAAAGGGTCATTGATGCATGCATTAGCATATATCAAATTGCTTATAAAAATATTAAAAACCAGCATATTATAAGATTTTTTATATACTCGCATGCATATTGAATTTTTTTTTTGGATTACTGTAGTTTAGAAATGTGATTGCTTTCGGGTTATCCTTTAATAACCTATTATGTTGGTTAAATATTATTATTAGATTTTAAACAATTGAAAAGGATGAATAGAAGAAAAACAAATGTATGTACAAGAAGAGAACAACAAACAGAAAGGTACTAATTTCTACTTGTTGATTTTAATTATTTTCTTTAGTGGTTCTTTTATGTATTGTTTTAAATATTAAATTGTTAGTAATAGAAATAGCATAGCAAAGTTATATTTTTCGACCTCCGACCGTCCGTTTCCGTCTTGATTAATTCCAAGCACCGGACCAAGTTGTGAGAAAATAGCTAAGTACTTCCATTGATTTCTGAAACTCATAAATGTTCAATAGCTTGCTAGATCATATTATAAAATTTTGTGTACCCCCACAGTCATCAACAGATGACTAGAATGCTAGAGCGCTACTTACTGTCAAAAATTTAATTTATTTAGAAACAAAATATAAAGCCCACAAGAGGATTAGAAAATTGTTTAGTTGCTTGACAAAGCGAAGCAAGCATCCAAGCACACCTCAAAGCTCTTCAGAAATTTCAACAACAATCTTAGACAAATTATCTACGCCACATTTGCAACCTTCTACAGTACTCATTCCAAATAACTCAAGAATGATGTGACAATTCATGAGATGAAATTTACAAACACATCTAGTCTAGATAGACAAATGAGAAAAGCTTACTAAACTTAATACAATTGAAATAAAAATTTAAATCTGCAATAATCAGTAAAGCACCTGTTTTATAACAAACCTTGAATGCTCACATATCTAGAACAAAAAACAAAATTGCAGAACTACAATTTCCATTTTTGCATTAGGATTCATAAATAAGAAATTTTGCAGTAGAATAGCCCATAAATATTACTTATTAAAAACTATAATTCATATTTCAGTACATGATAAAATAAATAAAATAAAATAAAGGCAACTAAAAACAAAATAGCAACAACCTCGCTCTTCCAAAATCATTTCAGCCTTCCCCTGTATCTCATGTAGAACCTGCATGCGTCAACTATGAGAAATGAAGAGAGGAGGTATATAAAACACAAACAAACTCATATAATGCTCCAAGTTCACTGCAAGAAGAAAATAAGAATGCCCACTAAAAAGAGTATGGAAGTCGTACAAAAACATGATATGGGATCTCAATTTAATCACATCAGCATACAGAAAGTAAAAAATAGGAAAAAAGATAATATACATTAATCTAAATTGCTATTTTTTATTAAAACAATTTTGAAAAATTCATTCAACATCAACAAAGTACGCAAAAAAAAATTACTTCAAGGAAGTGTAAATGCAAGTAAGCATCATCTGCTTAGTTCTCTAGCAATTTTGATAAAGCAAAAGATCGCAATGGGAAGACCTGTATAAATATGGAGAGGTTGAAAATTTTGATAAAGCAAAAGATGGCAATGGGAAGACCGCTTTAAATTTCATGAATGAAATGCATTCATGGCCAAACTACGCAAAGTGTGTCCGCCTGGTAAAAATAGACACGTGAATTTAGTAACTGATATGTAGCTTAGTTCCCATCGAGGTGTAGTGAGGATGGCAAGTGCGCCTCGCCAGAAGAATCCAGTCTAACCCTATTTCGAGCAGACTTTGGTCATAGAAAGTAGTTTATCCAAAATTTTGGAAAAATAGAAGAAAATGCTGTTACCTAGTAGAGGGTTTTCTAATCCAATTCAATTGCAAGGTGGAATATTTATCGAAATTATTAGGCACCAATTTCAGCATTCAAGCTGAGCTAGCCCTAATCAAACAACAGCCATCCCTAGCAAAGAGCTTGAACTGAGCCATTCAACGCGCTCATAAAAAACGAGCATAATTGGACAATTTAACGCATCAAAGATATATAACTCAATGCACCAAATATTTAATTTCTCAAATCAAAGATACAATCTAACCTATAAAATTGGGTTGAAACCAAACTGAAAATTTTGCTATTTGCAATGGTTGCCACTCAAAAATATGGGACAATGGTGCTAAAACATTATATTTATACTATATAGTAGAAAAACAGATATGATCTCAGCAAAAGATAGCGTAAAAATTCCAATACAATAAATAGGCATATGAGAATTTGCAGTGGATGAAGATTTAAATAATTCAACAGAATCCTATTACGAGGTGAGTAGATTTATGTAATGAAGTACTCAATGGGAAAACAAGATGAAAGTGTTCGACATTATTAAAAAACAAAAGATAAAAATTAAACAGAGTTTTTGGATAACTTAAGCATTCTACAATTATATGTGAGCACAAACAAAGAGTATCTTTATTAATTTCATTTAGAAAGAAATTTCGTAACTTCACCAAAAAAAAATGATAATAGCAGGAAGGTATTGAGTAATACAGTAGATGGCATCCAGACATTGAAAACTGGATGCAAGTGTCGGTAAAACCCGCAGCGGAATGCGATCTCATATTAGAAAAATATTTCCAGAAGCAGACTATACTGAAAACATAGAAACAAATAATTACCCGCTCCAATATTGCTTCAGCATGTTTTCGACCCCATTTCTCATGTCGCAAAGCATCATAAGCTTCTTGATATTTCTCATACATTTTGGTGAGCTATTCACAGTAAAAAATGAGTATTGAGAGGATAAGGTCAGCAAGTTCCAAAAGCTATGAAACTAATGGAAAGGACTAAAATAACCAAATAAAAATAAAATAAAATATTATTTTGAGACTTTGAGCCCTACACTCCATCCATCACGAAGCAATGAAGCAGCCAATGCGGTTCCTGAAACACCTGCAGCTATCCTAGGGACGAGCATCTGACTGGCATCACTTCCAGCCTCACTGATCACCATGTAAATGAAAGACCAATAAAAACGCCAGATAACAATACTTGCAGAAATACAAAGAGAAGCACCTACTGAGCTTGATAAATCAAGTAAAATTTATGAGAAAAAACAAGCAGCTACAAGAAATAAATACTACGCAACAAAAAAGCCACAAAGACTGCTTAAAAGACAAAGTATTAACAACAACAGCTTATGCTGACTGAGAAACAATCAATCACTAGAAAGAAAAAAAAAAAGTTTGCTAAGAAATAAATAAGAATCAGAAGGCACTCAAGCTGTAACTTGAAAGACAGAACCATTTGCAGTAACTTTTAATTCAATAGCATTATGGTTCAATACTTCAATATTAGATTCTAGGTTGTTCTCTGTTTTCAAAGCACGAGTATAAAACACCAAAATTCTAAAACAAGTTTATTTTTTATTTAATTTTTGTATGGCTGCTAATTTTCAATTTAAGATCAAGCTGCATGACTTTTGGGGAAAAAATTATTTAACAAATACTAAAATAATGAAAAATGAGCTCATTAACAATCAAGAGCTCCAAATATTACATTAATCAGAATCTAAGATTAAAGAAATCCTACAAAATGGAAGCACTCTCCAACCAACTACACTTTTGCTAAATCAAAGAGATGTGAAAATACAAACCTTCTAAGTCAAAGAGGCCCAAGCGAGAAAGAAATACAATCAAACATTTGAAAAGGAAATGTGACTGGTAATTGAAATAAACTAGGAATGCATACCAAACTTCAGTCGCTGAATCAACATTTTTATTTTCCCTCCACATGAACCTTTCACTTAAAATTGAAAGCAACACAAACAAATCCAAAACTGGCATTCCCATCATGATATAAATAACTAGACAACCATGTATATAACAAAATCAAAGCTAAAACAACATGAACTGCAAGGGTAGCTTGAAACATTCTAAAGAGGAAGGACAATATTTTCAATATCAAAAAACCATGTTCTTGTAATTAATCACCCACATCAGCTTGAATTCAATACTTATAGTTTTTTATTAAAAAAGATTGACCTTCATAGCATAACTATTGCATATAAAAATGTTAAATGGCCATGATAATCATCTCATCAACACAAGCAGCTATTAAAAAAATCAATGCTTTGCCAGTGGCATACTCTCTCTAAATTGTAATCAAATACTAACATGATTCAAAAACTAAAGATGCAATCAAGAGAATCCTTTTCTTCACCGATTTTATCAGACATCTCAACAAATAATGAATCTTCTTCCAAAAAAATGTCGGACTATCAACAAGCAAGCCAAATTCACAGACAGTATTAGATAGGGCATAAACTTACAGCTCTTCCACATGTGAGCCAACCGGTAACATTGACAATGGAAGAAGGCTCGATTCATTAGCTTTCCTGGTGTTTTCAAGTTCAGTTTCACACTTCTCTAACTTCATTTTCAAATCAGTAACCTCCTGTGAAACAGCAGAGTTGAAATTTAGCTCCAAGTGGGAAAGTAATACCTCTACATAAACCATTAATTTATTTCTTAAGCCATAACAAAACATATACTGTGAAAGACAAGTTAAAAAAACAAACAAATTAAAATGAAACAGAAATTTGCTTAAAAATGAAAAAGGATATTAATAAAATTTACAATATACATGGTGACCTAATTTTCCTATTAAAAATAACTAATTAAAAAGAAAGAAAATTAATTGGATAATAGATTGTTGTTTAATTAATCAAAGTCATATTCTTATTCTCTGTATCAGTTGCACTTCGCTTGTTAATATCTCCCATCATCATGTTATCCTCTTCAAATACACACTTTTATTTTGTTCACTCTCACCTTCAGATCACATTGATATTTTAATCTATCAGGCTCATATCTCTAAACTCCCTAGTCATGCTAACTTTCCCAAGTCTTTTCCACCCACCATTTATTCTTCGCCTTAAAAACCATATACAAGCGCCACTACTTCTCATGAAAAAATGCCGTGTCTTCAATTCCTCAAGCGGAAACCTCAATATGAGTGTTATACTTCTTCTGTTTCCCATTTAACTTCAGAACCATGTTTTTCTCTTCCAATCAACTGACCATGCATCTCATAGAAAGCTGCACCAAGTGCAATAGCCATGTAGCTTGAATCTATGGCTGTGTTTACCAGCCACATAAACCATAGCAACTCGTGAACCATATAAACCATAAACCACAAGAATGACAGTTCTCTCAAGCTCTTGATCCCGTCTCTCAAATGCTTATTTCTCACATTCAGCTTCCATTCTGCTAGTCTTGTTTTCTCTCACAAAAACACGACCACTTTCTTGCACAAATTGCCTTCTCGCACCTTCCCTCTCCAGCAATCTTCCTCTCCCACACAGACATACTGGAACCCATGTCCGACCCGAGCACTCATCTCTTATCATTCTCATATGCGCTCTCCTCCGTCATGATTAGTCTAGCAACAAACTCAGTCATAGTACTTAAGATCTTTCCCACAGTCAATGTTTCTCTCTTGCCTGTAGCTTCTCATCCTCGCCTCATTTGCTCTGGTTTTCCAGACTCCACTGCAGTGCATCACTCCCCTGCCCTCACTATCTCTTGAAATCCTTCGCTCTCCTATTTTGTTGACCTCAGTACTTCAATGAGGTCATTTTATGATAGTTGTTTTACGATAGATATTTTACGATTTTAAGCTCTTGTCGCAAGCGGCTATGTTTGTGTGCCTAAGCTATTCAATGCAACTAGTACAAGAGCAACACACGACCAACAATTAGCTCTTGTGAACCTCAAAAACACATATTTTGCACAGACATCCTCCCCATCGTGATGTGGATGTGTAAGTGGAGGAAGCCCATCGTAGTTCATAAAGCTCTTTGAATGTCACAGCTTAAAAGCCCTCCAATGTTAACGAAATAGACCTAGTGTTACACAACGACAAGTTTAACTCCATCCATCTATATCATTCACTACCAATTAAATGCAAACACAATTTGAAATTTTAAGCCTACCTCTTTTTAACTCTAAAAGAGTTTTCCAATAAAAATGAGAGGTTACTACCTATAAGAGCATATGCCCATAGAAAGACTCAATCAAAAAAAATTATTATGTCATCATTAGTAGAAATATGAAAAAATTAGATATGATCTACCACAACTAGGTAGCATGCCCAAACTCATTTCATAAGGAAGGTTAGCTAAAGTATCTCAAATAAACATTGTGATGTCAACGAATTCATTTTCTTGAATATAATAATTTTTATGTCCTATCCCATGTGTAAATATTCATGATAATTATTGACGCGGATGCGAAAAACCCCACATAGACGGAAAGCGTTGATTTGAAAACAGACCCCGACCGGTCCAGAGGGTTCATGAGCTGAGCAGCACAAGCGAGCCTCCTGACAAGTCAAGCAAACTCCCGCACCTCTATCTGTCTTCCAATTCTGTTTTTTCTTAGTATGAAAATATTTTAATGGCTATTTCTAGATTTTCTTACCTCCCCACCTCTTCTTTTGTGTAGGAAGTTTCCTTCTTTGGTTATTTCCTTTCCTTCAAAAATGGTAGTCTATATATTGTTTGTTTTCAGAGAGTTGGGGTAGTTTTCTTGTGATTTGATTTCATATTTCTTGTGTGAAATCTTTTTTCTTTGTTCTAGGGTTGTATTCAAGGAGGTGATGGTGCTCCAGTTATATCCTACTCCGAGTTGGTGATTATATCTCCCCTTTATCTTCCCTACTCTGTCTCCTCTACTTCCCTTAGCCGACGGCTATCTGCAGCCGCTTCCCCCTACAATGCAGACAACATTTCTGTTGCAGTAACTTGCTATCCACCTCTTTCCACTCCACATTTCCTAGCTGCCAGTTGTCCCAACTTTTGTCCTGCTGCTCCCCGCTGCTACCCCACCTTCCAACCAACCTCCACCTCCCTCGGAATACACTCTGGAGGTATCCATGTGTGTCATTTGTGTTTTGGCAAAGTTATTTCCAGTTTGTGTATTGTAAGTCTTTATTCCTATTAATAAAAGTTGAATTTTGTGTTTGGGCAATTCTCCTCTCGTACCATTTGATATCAGAGTTAGCCCAACCCTAATGTCATCCTAGGGTTTCTAGCATCCGCCCCTACCCAAGCCACCACACTAAATTTTTTCTGCTCTTTACGTTTTTTTCTCTTCTTTCTTTCTTCCTTTTTTTCCTTCCACAGATCTCAAAACCATCAACTATGCCACCGAAAAAGAATATATGCCCGAGCCTACCCAGGAAAAGATACGACAAGAGCTCTGTAGCCTCCAACAGAGGTTTATGAATATTGAAGAGAAAATCCAGTAGGAAGTTACCTTCGACGGTAATCTGAAAAGTCGAAAGGAAAGCCGAGAAGGATATAAAGAAGAAACGAGAAACACAGCGTCAGTTCCTACCAACTCACTACCGCCAAAAGTTGCAGACTCTAGCTTCTAACATAGAGAGATTGCAGCACCAAGCGACCCCCTAGCTACTATTCAGTGAAACCAATTTGCAAGTCTATCGCCGTCAGAAAATGTGGCAAGAGTCATGGATTGGACATGTTGAGGCACAATGCGCAATCAAGCGAGTGATCTACTTCACCAAACAGTGCGTCTTTGAAAAGTTGGGTAAAAATACAGCAAGCACAAAAGACGGTGAGTACAAAAACGAGGAGAACCCGCTTTCAGTTAAAGATATGAATGGTGATCAAGAATAAAATACAAGCTTACAAACAGTATTCTCATTTTCAACCAACGAGGAATAGAAGCCACCAAATCTAGTTGGCCCCGAGATAGAGATTCTCGTTGAGATAACAAACGTTGTTTTAGAAAATTGTAACTCTGAGGTTATAGGGAACCTAGTAGAGTCTGACTTTATAGTGCCTCGAGCCAGCATTTTGCATACTTTGAGAGGAACATCAGCAAGACCAACATTGGATGTCTACAAGGGTTATGAGTTTGAGGAGTCGGCATCACATACAACGACACCACAAATAAGAGAAATGCAAATTTTTCAGATTTACAGACCCCTCTTGAGTTATCCATATGAAGGAAGGTGCGGCATGTCCAAAGAGGAGTCATTTTTGGGTCATGTGAAGAATATCATGTGGAGTTATTTAAAGGTTATTTCCTATTTCACATACTACCCCTCATCATATGAACAGATAGGAGAGATGAACCCCAGCTTTGTTGTGGGCCCGAGAAGCTCGATGTGAAAGAAAATTCTTCAATGGGATCCAGATTTTGTCACCGAAGATGTCTCACCTAAGTGGATGTTAGTGAGAGGGGTGCAGCATGCCACAAATTTCACCCTAAATTTGACTTCTCCTTACATACTAGCTCATCAGATGCACCCAAGCCGATTGAGTGGAAGAAGCGGGTTACAACTGAATTGGCTCGATACCTAAGCCATGAGAATAACGGTCTTCCTACAGTTCCAGCTCTAGGTGTGTCAAACATGAACGGGTACCCATTCAACCAATGTGCTTTGGAACGACAATGTCCATTGACTCAACCTACTAGGACTACAGTTCACGATCCATCCGTCCTGAAAAATTACAGCAGCTCCCTCTCCAGCAGTAAGTCGACAGAAGCATCAATAAATGAGGTCAATTCTTCCCAAAAAGCAGGAGACTGGCCCGGGTGTGAAGAACCCTGCATGGACGGGACGCGAGTGCGGGAAGGCACCTGCACTAGTAGGAGCAACGGAGCAGCCCTAACCGATCCAATTGGAGACCAATTCATGGGGTTCCTGAGCCAAGTGGCCTCCCATGCCTCCTTCTGCCTTCCAATTCAACTTCTTCTTGATGTGGAAGCATTTTAATTACTATTTCTTGATTTTCTTACCTCCACCACCCCCCCCATCTGTTTGTATAGGAAGTTTCCTTCTTTAGTTCTTTCCTTTCCTCCATCAATGGAAGTTTATATATTGTTGTTTTCAGGAGTTAAAGTAGTTTTGTTCTGAGATGATTTCAGATTTCCTTTGTGGAATCTTTTTCCTTATTTTAGGGTAGTATCCGAGAAGGTGATGGTGCTCCGGCCGTATCCTACTTGGAGGTGATGATTCTATCTCCCATTTTATCTTCCCTACTTTGTCTCCTCCACTTCCATTAGTTGTGGGCTATCCCAAACACCTTCCCCTGCGTTGCCAACCCCATTTCTGCAGCGGTAACTTGTTGTCCCACTCAAAAGCTATAGACACTCCAATTAACCCAATCAAAAGCTAGGGTATCAGAAGTAAGGTGACCAAGTAAATACAGCTCGATGTCAAAAGTTGGAGAGAAAGCTGATATACTGTACACATATACTACCAGATATCGCCTCTGCTTTAGGTTTGGTAAGTCAATTTATCCATTCTCCCTCTAAGAAACACCTTGAAGTAGTTAATAGGATTCTCAAAAGCGGGCATACTTTCAGAAAACCACACAGCATAATATGGAGTAATACACCAATGTAGATTGTGCAGGCTGAGTTGTTGGCAGGAGCTCAACTTCCGGATATTGTACTTAAATCTAGGAAAATCTAATTACATGGTGAAATGAGAAACAGAATATTGCAGCAATTAAAGCTGAAACAAAATATCGAGCTAAGGCTAATGGAGTATGTGAGAAGTTATGGCTGAAGAGAATTCTTAAAGAGATATGAATTCCGATAGATATGCCAATGAATTTATACTGTGAAAATAAAGTTGTCATAAACATTGTAGAAAATTATGTGCAACATGATCGCACAAAGCATCTAGAGATCGACAGAGAGATTGACAGACACTTCATGAAGTAGAAGATTGATTGTGGAGTTATTTGCATGATATTTATCCGCACTGCTCAACAAGTAGCGAATATCTTCACCAAAGGCTCTTCAGGCCAAATTTTGAGCTACTTATAAGCAATTTGGGCATGATAGATATTTATACTCCGGAGGGTCGAAATTATTTAGAAAAAATAAATTTAGCATCTTTTATTATTTTCTTTTATTAGATTTCTATATTATTGGTATATTATAATTCTTGTTTCCTTTTTTTTTATCATTAATTATGGCTTATTTATGATTCTTCTAATGTGGAAGTCATCTCCCTCTATTTATCTTGTAATAGTTTCATTTGAAATTGAAGAGGAACTATATTTCTTCTCCTCCAAAAATCACACTTTTGAACCCTTGCCTTATCTTGCACAAAACAAGTTTTTCATTAACATGAGTGTTAAGTTTGTTGACAAGCATGCTTTTATACCTCATAGGAATATCCATTAACAAGTGTCGCTGATTCAATTAGGTTTTGTATACATTTTCATGAAAAAAAAAAGATAAACATTAATGAATCTCCTCACGAGTTGCAATACAGCATATTGACAGCTTCTATAGTTGCATATTTACCACTTCATAAAAAGGTGTTTTATCATATAATTAGGTACTCTTGCGTGCAACTGTGTACCATATTTTTCATGTTCTACAAGAGGTTATATGCATGTTATTCAATATGCTTATCTTTGAATCTGTGTCATCAGTAGAGTACATGCACGTATGCCCTTTTGTCCATGAGAATCAACCCTCACATTTCATCTAATCATTTTGTTCTCACAAGCTAAAATCTCCACAATTTGCAGATTCAGAAATTATAAGAACTTAGGATTTTTTTTATTAGTTAAACATTCAAGGTGAGAAGCTCAAAGTTTTACGGCACTCAATTGACACGAAAATGAAAGAATTCACCTTTCCAAGAAAAGAAGAAAGCAACCTTGAAGTGCAAAGAAGCTTTTTGAAATGGAATAGAAGATCATTATCCAAAAAGGTACATCAACAATGTAACTCAACCTTCATATAATGGACTCAAGCAAAGAAAAATAAATCATGTTCAAATAGTTTGAAACTTTTTTTAACTATTCATCTTTATATGACAAGAAAATAAAACTAAAGCAAATCCGAGTTGAAAAAGAGGAAGACTATCAAACGAAAGAAACTAAAGCCCCCGCTACACTGGATAAATCTAGCAAAGTCACTTGAGAGTGTAATAAATATAGTCAAGGTGTAGCGCCATTATAGAATTAGTATTCTTTTGTCCGATAAATCTAATGAATTTATTTCTTCTCCAGAAATATATATATTTTATTGTACAATAGCAACAATTTTTTGTTATATTATACTCTAAAGCCATTGTTACCCTTCAAGTCCAAACCAAATCCATCACCTCAGACAGCCAAAACGCAACATAATGATGCTTGTTTGAGGTGTTCCGCCTTGAATAACTAATTAGGCAAAATAAATATAAAAGCCGACTGATGTCACAAAAGAATAAGACTAACCTTCTCAAGATCTTTCCTCAGAGATGCTTCCCTCTCCAATGTCTCTTTATAGTCACCTTCAACTTGACTTAAATGTGCCTGCATGTCCAAAAAACCTTAGTGAACTATTGCAACTAATTTAGAGATGTACTTATAAAAGATAGACAAAGTTCAACTCCAAACCTCAAGAGCTTTGATGACACCCTCGAGCTCACCAGCCTTTTTGGACCATTCCTCCGAACTTGCTTTGTATAACTCGACAAGCTTATTAACCTGTTCATGTTTACATAATCATAAAAGAGATTGAGGGAGCAAAACATAGCTAGCAAGGTCAATTAAATACAACATAAATAATAATAAACAATCGATATAAGAAATGTCAAGTATTTTAGCAAACTAAAAATGAAAACAAATCTACACATTGAGCGACAATGATGCAATCAATGGGGATAAATTTCAGGGAAAAACAAACTTTACCATCAATTTCTTATTGCATCGAAGTTGATTTGAATAGCAGGAATCCATATTTTCGGTACTTCAAAATAGTTAAATATCTATATTCAGCCTTCACAATTTTACACTCAATATTAGGCAGTAAGAGATCATGCCATAAATAAAATAAAATTTAAAAAAAATGTTTTAAAGAGCTCTCTTATTCAAGTTAATACCAATAGAAAGATTATCATTTTGATGAATTGCAAATACTAAGAAATGCCTGATAAGTCAAATATAAATAGTTGAAGAGTCGTTGGCACATGAATGTAAAAAAAAAATCATAGAAAAAAACTCAATAGTTATTCCAAACAAAAAGCATAAGAATTTTTTAGAAGAAAAAAAAATAGTAAGCCAAAAAAAATAGTATGAAGAAAAAAATAATGAGGCTAAGTAAGCCACACATTCAGCTTCGTCATGCATATTCCATCATTTTTATACATCTAGTCTTTGTAAGTTGCATTTATATTCATAATTTTTAATATTTTGTGTCATATTTAAAATGGAACACACCGCTCTGACTTTGCAGAAACCTTCGCGCTACAAGTATGACACATTTGAACTTTGATTGAATTCCAATTCATGCTCTTGTTTCCACTTTTTCATCATTTTCTTTTCAAGAGGAACACAATTTATTCAACAGGAAAACTTTAGTTCAACACTCAAAAGCCTATAAATTTTCCAAGTAAGGATATTTAGCAAATTCAATGGTTAATGATGATTATAGTTCTAGCGCTATCTTTTTTTCTCAGAAAATAAGCTTTGTTAAATCCGCTTTGAAGCTTCTTCGTTCTATAATGATATGCTAACAAACCACAGCAATGCACACCTGGACTAGGAAGGTATTGCAACTTCATACTTCTTTTTTTCTTTTTTGAACATTTTCTTTGAAATTTACAAAATTTATTAAGCAAGAAAACTTGAGCTCAAAACTCACAAGCATATATTTTGAAATTCAGACAAAGTTATTAGTAACCTAATCGGAATATTCGTATATTATACAAATGATACACAGATATAAAAATTATTCAAAAATACTTATATTTCTATATCTTTAAGAAAACAAGCAATCTAAATTTAAATTTTAATATGTATTTTACATATTACAATGAATATATGAGAAAACCAGTTCACCTCATTTGATCAAGAATAGATCTTTTACTCGATATTTTTTTTTCATTTCAACTAAGTACCATATTTCTCATTTGGAACTCTAGACCCAAATTCATATAAATACTTTTCCTTAAAAATAATTTTCATTAAAGATCTATTCAATCATATATATTTCTCATTTGGAACTCTAGACCCAAATTCATAAAAATACTTTTCATCAAATGACATTGGCCGTCTCAATTGATATTTTACAGACAACTTGAATAAGCAACACGGAAAAATTGGCCAGTTTGGTTGTAACCTCATAGCAAAAGAGTGAATTCAGTTATACACTATTAATGAACTAACTCAAGTACGTGATATACACAACCATACCCACAACTCGTGCTTCAACACCCTTGAACAACTAAAATTTCACTTACGGTTGTGAGTTCAGCATTAAAATTCTCTTCAATAGTAGCAGCAATATCCTTAGATGAACGCAAGTCCTGCAATGCAGCAACTAACCCTCAATACCATCCATTTAGGAAAGTAAATGACAAGAATTTCATAATGACACAGATAAGAGTACATTTCCTGATACCTCTTCCAATGATTTGACTCTTAGCTCAAGCACCTTTTTTATTTCCTTACTATGGTTCAGTGATGTGGAATATTCCTTGACCTGCCTCTCTAGCTGAAATGCAAAGCAATTTAAGAAACAAAAATAGGCAGAAATCATAAGAAGATATGTTAATAGCTTATATAATATTAAACGTAAGAGCTTACTTCAGCAATTTTTTCAGAATTCTCTGCTTCAGCATCCATTTGCGTTCTACGCAACTCAAAAAGTGTATTAGCTTTTCCGGTGAGCTCTTCATCGAGCCACACATTCTGTTTCTCCAGTAGCTCTTTCTCCTACATATGCACAAATATTAGGTAAACTCGATAGTTCCAAATTCTAAAGCCGAGAGCAAGATCCATAGCTTAGATGTTTGTTATAGATATGTATGCCTAGATTTAAACTGAGATGGCTAGATATGCATGAATTTGAAAGTAGACTAATGGAAATCTATATCTAGATATATAAATCATCAAAAATTTACGTTAAGGGTGTAAGTGAGGTAGTTTGGCACATGCAAATAAAAGCATATATCCAAAAATACAAAAACAGTATCATACAATTAAGATAAACATGCAGCAAATAAGAACGTAGTGCCCAGCATGATCAGGATATCTGATCAACGGAAGAACAAGACATGAAAAGTTGTGCGTAAAGCACGTTTGCCAAACAGATTGTTCCAAGCAGGGCAAGCATGCAAATAAATGTATATATCTAAAAATAAATTAAAAAAAATCACACAATCATGCAGCCAGTACATACAGACTCAGCAAGATAAGCATATCAGATAACGGAAGAACAAGACTTTCTCTCTCTCAGAGAAACACCTCCACCATAGTAAACATAAAGAGGAACTGTTTGAAGGCTTTAAGGGTGATTTTTTAATGCCTCGATCATGATTTGTGGATTTTTAGTTTAGCTGTGAAGTGTGATTTCTGAGGAAAAGATCGATATTGTAGCATAATTCCAAGCATTCAAGAAATTTAAACTATGAACTAACAATCGTATTTGAATCATTTTATTATTTGTGAAAAGGATTTGTAAATATATAAAGGACACCTGAAAGCATGAAAAGGGTAGAGTGGGCTCCAAAAACTTTCGACCCGAACTATGCTTGAGAGAGATTTTGTGTTTGGTATCCCATAAAAAATTTTCAGAAGGCTGATAGGAATGTAAATAAGAAATTACCAAGATATTTCGCCCTCATTTTGTGAGGACTTTAAGATCTCTAGTTCAAGGTTTCCTATTGACACAAGCTCCTATGGTTGATTACCTCCTCCTAATAACAAGATAGCACTTTCAATTAAGGAAAGTCATTAAATATTAAATATTTAACATATTGTACAGCAGACATATGTTTTAGGTTATAAAGTTCCTCACTTTGAGTTTTCAAGGGGATGGTGGGGGCAATGATGACAAACCCGATCAAAATCACATGGTTCTACCATTTCGGGTCATCATGGTCTCTGAACTACTTAGTCAGATGAGGAAATCAACTCAACACAACCAAATGAACATTGTCAGCAATCATGGGTTATTTCATTCAAGGGAACATTATAGATCTAAGGTAGATGTTTTTTCTAAGAAGATAAATTTAAGTCGGTCAGAAGATTTTGTGTCAATCATATGTAACATTATAATTCACAACTCAAAGGGGATAAAAAGTTATTAGGAAAGATACAAGTTGCAGCAGTAATCATAATTTATTAGTCTCATTTGGGGGCAAACCACCCGATCAAAAGACTATGTTCTTAACATTTACTTTTTGTGAAGTCATTGGACCAAAGCATGCAGATAAAGAACTTGCAACGCTTCATTAATAGCATGAGATTATTTTGAATGAATATAATAATTGTCGATGTGATATTAACTCATTCTGAGCCGAAGTAAATCAAAATTTTTCCACCCTCGATAAATTGTTACAGAGAGTAGATAAGTTTTTGTTAACTTTGGAGTGATTCATTTTAATTTAAATGAATTTAAATGTTTTGATTTATTTGTTTTTTTTTTTTTGAGGTGACTAAATTTAATTTAAATGTCTTGATGTGTTATTTCGAGAGCTTGATTTGAAAATTGACTTAAGAAATTAACCCCTTCGGTTAAGATATTCAGTCAATACTAAAATCATTAGGGACTTAAATAGCTTCGAACCTTATTGACTCTGTCACATTTATTGATGATCGAATTCATAAACTAATTCATTTGAGTTTATTCAGATATTATTTTGAACTTAATTTTGAAAATAGAACCCACTGATTGAAACCTTTTATCAACTCTGCCACTAACGGTGAAACAATTGGACATTTGAAACACTTATGTTTGCAGTTTATTTGACATTTATCACTTTAATATATATAAAATATTAATCTCATCAACTTCAATCCTTATGAGGAGGATAAAATAGGTGATTTGAACTTATAAATTTTTATGCTTATTATTTGGATATAATTATAAGTAATAAACTTGTCGGCTCCAATCTTTGTGAGGAATAAGATCGAAACAATTGATTGGGACGTTTGACATTGTTCCATCGATATTGTGATTTGCATGAGTATATGCTTAACTTCAGTATTTTAAATTTGATTTTAAAACATGGAAGTTACTAATTTCAACAAAATCATGATTTCTCTATAGAAATTTGCACATATTTTAAAGCAAAAGTTATTTGAAAAAAAGTTTAATCTTAACCCATGCAGTATTTTCAAATTCTACATATTTAAGTAATAGCCAAATTGGTGGAGCACATGCAGGTTTTCAATTCATATATTTGGACACTTCAAAACTCTATGCATGCTTTTTAAAGATCCATTTGGCAAGGTGGCAAGGTGGCAAGGTTGTGGTACGGTGACAATCCAAAAACACATCATGATACTAGAATATTGATTTCATAGTATAGCAAAGACAAATCACACAGAGAAAGCCACAGTCCAAATCAACCTCAAACTGCAAAGATAAATGATAGAGGATACCGTGGGAGAGCGAGGGAAGAGGACTACTTTTGACACATGCGGGGGGAGATGGCCTTAGGCCAAAGATGTGAGAGAGGCAGCAGGATTGTGAGGGCATAGACGCAGGGGCAGAGAGGGGAAAAAGTAGCTAAAAGATGCAGACCGCGAGGTCGAACCCGTGGCTCGCATTTACGGGCACATCATCGAAGACGTTGTTGCGTCATTAGAATCAAATTTTCCTTTTAGTCTAAGTGAGGTGCTTTTCCATCACACAAAAGGCATGAAGCATTCCTCCACTTCAACCAACCAACTTGAATTCTACTATTAACATCCCCATCTATATCACCATCACTTTGAACAATAGACCCGAGATATCTAAATCGTTCACTTCTTTTAATAATTTGATCACCCAAAGTTACACTTCTGTCACTAGAATTACTACTACTAAAATTACATTCCATGTATTCAGTTTTAGTTCCACTCAAATGAAGGCCTTTAGACTCTAATGTAGACCTCCATAGTGTTTCCTAAGCTTTCTCTTTCGTCTTACCCACAAAAAGGACAATATCAGCAAAAGCATACACCAAGAAACATACTTCTATAAATGTCCAGTAAAACCATCCATAACTAAACCAAAAATATATAGGCTTAAAGTCAATCACTGATGTACTCCAATAAAAATAAGAAAATATTTGGTCAATCCTCCTTCAGTTCTACATATCTTTAAGGACTTGAATATAAGTCATATCACCATGATCCTTCTCAAGAACTCTCCAAAGGATATCTCTTATAACCTTATCTTAAGCTTTTTATAAATCAATATAAATCAATTGTAGATCCTCCTTATTATCTCTAAACTTCTCCATCAAGCCTCTCAATAAATGTATAGCTTCCATAGTAGACCTTCCCGGCATAAATCCAAATTGACTATGATAAATCTTTGTAATACGTCTCAACCTATGTTCAATTACCCACTTCCATAATTTTAAAGTATGACACATCAACTTAATTCCTCTATAATTTGCACTCTTGTGCATCCCATTATTCTTAAAAATGAGGACCAAAATACTCTTCCTCCACTCCTCAGGCATCTTTTTAGTTTTTAAAATAATATTAAAGAGTTAGTAAGCCAAGAAACTCTCAAATCTCTAAAATATTTTCATACTTCAATTAGGATATCATCAGATCCTACAGACTTTCCACCATTTGTTTTCTTTAAAGCCTCCTTAACTTCTTTTTTACTAATGTGATGATAAAAAGAAAACTTTTTTATTATTATTAATGATATTAAGATCATTAAAGTGATCGTATTTTCAAAAAGTTCATTAGAAAGTTTATCAAAATAACTCACTCGTCTATGTTGAATATCTTTTTCTAAGAAAAATACTTTTTTTTTTGTTTTTCATCTTTAATACACTTTACTTGAGTTAAATCTTTACTTTTTTTCTCTTTTGTTGGCTAGTTTATACAAATATTTTTCACACTCTTTGATATATAATCTATTATAAAGATCACTAAACGTAGAATTTTTAGCATCACAGATTGTTCTTTTAGACTCTCTGAGGGTCGTTTAATATTTTATCCAGTTCTCTAAGCTTTTACATTCAAACATATTTTTATAACATAACTTCTTATATTTTATCTTTTTTTGCACATTATTATTCCACCACCTATTTTTATTTATAGAAATTTTTTCTTTTGATTCTCAAAATACAACTTTCATTACTAGTTTAACAGTGTTTATTGTTTTATCACACATAACATTTGTTTCTTCATGAACATCCTAACTTTTGAAATCTTGAATTTTACTTATAAAATTTTATTTGTATTTTTTAGATTTCATCATCTAATTCTACAATGATGAGTCCTAGTATTTTTAATTTTACAACTATTCATCTTAAAATCTAGAACTAATGATCGATATTGGGTACTTAAATCCTCACTTGGAATGACCTTACAATTTTTACAATCTCAGCGGTCTCTTCTCATAGAAAATAATCAATTTGGGTTTTATTAGAACCATTTTTATAAATAATAAGATGTTTATCTATTTTCTTGAATAAAATATTATTAATAACAAAACCATACGCTGAAGCAAAATCTAAAATGATTATACCTTATTCATTAATCACTCCAAAATCGTAGCCCCCATAAATATTTCTGAAATCTACTACCACTCTACCGACATGTCTATTTAAATCTCCTCCAATAAAAATTCTTTCTTCAAGAGGTATCATTTGTATTAAGTCTTTTAAGTCATTCCAGAATTTATCTTTCGACCCTATATCTAAACCTTCTTGAACATTATAAGCACTTATAATATTTAAAATCTTAGTATCGATAATAAT